ACTCCAGCTGATACCACCTAGAAACTTGTACAAACCCCTCCCACCCTTAAAATTAGGGACATTCAAGTCCCTACCATGCCCTGGAAATGCTCTGGGGGACTACCAGAGGACCACCGTGACCTCCTCGCCACCACACCGAAGACCACCAGGGACAGCTTTGCTCTGACACCTGCCTTGTCTTTCTTACTTGCCATCCCATCCCCACCCCCAGCGCGCCTTCTCTTCCGCCCTCCCTCCTTCTGGGTCACTCTTCCACTGTCTGTCGGTAAATATTGCCAGTCCTCAGGGCTCCAACCTCCCCCCTCTGCCCTCCTCACCCACACACTCACCGGGGCATCATTCACACTCAGGGTGAACCCCTCTGCCCGCCGACCCCTCAGATAAGCTCTGACCCTCCCCTGCTGGAAACTACCACCTGCAAGTCCGAGGACACCTGAGCCCGGCACATGTCCCTGGAGCCGACCGCCTTCCTGCCCACAGTGCTTCTCTTCCTGCCTCCCCTTCTCAGCTTGATGGCCCCAGCCTGCTCCCTGGTCACCTAGGCCAGGAACTCAGAAGCCACCACACAGCCCCCTTCTCCTCCTTGGATCAAGTCCATCCCTCCTGGGTAATCATGAATTTCTGGAGTGTCTTCTCTGCAAACATCTCTCCAAGCCATTCCCCTGCACTCCAACCACACAGCCTCTGTCTCAACTTCCAAGTCTTCCTGGGCTGCTCCAACAGCCCCTGCATGGCTCCCTGCCCAAGTCCTGAGCACCTCCGTCTCCTCCACAGCAGCAGAGGCGGAGCAGGCTTTGTGGAGCTCAAACCTGACCATGCCTCTCATCCCCAGTGGTGTTGCAGCAGTGGCCCTGCCTATGAGGGCCAAGTTCCTTTCTTGTTCCCATCTAAGCTTGCTACACACAGTCTGGCATCCAATCCCAGACCTGCTGGAATAGTACATCCAGGAGAAAACACAGGCATTTTATAATATTGACCTCGGGCATAACTGAGCAAATGTGGGAAATGTTGATCTAGTCATTCCCAAACTGCTGTGAGAACTATTTCGGGCAGCTGGTGAAAAATAAGACCTGCAGGCTCACCCTTGGAGATTCCCTTTCAGTGGACTTCCAGAGGATTCCGCATAACCTGGGTGGGAACCGCTGACCTACACACAGGACGAAGTACAGATGACTTGAGCATGGCTGTTAAAGCCCTTTGTGTTCCAGCCTCTGGTTGGCCCTCACCACGGTCCCCAACTGCCCAAAACCATGCTGTCTATAGTCCTCACACTCACCACGGTGTTTCAACTGAGTGACTACACATAACGACCCCTCTACCACGCAGCACTGCCCTCCAAGTGGGTCATGTGAACACCTGCTGGTGCCTCAGCTCAAATGAAGGCTCCAGAAGCTTCCCCACCCTCTGCTGGGTTAAATACTTCCTCTGTAGCCCACAGGGCCTGCTTCATCACCACCCCCAGCCTTTACTCAGCACAGCAATCATTCACACATCTCTTCCACTTCCAGTCAGGGAAGCCAGAATGGGGGGTGGGATTTCAGCCCTTTTCTGCCCCCATACTTAGCACATTGACTGGTCCTAGGAAAATGACTCAGATGTCAGTCCCCTCCCCAACCCAAGGGCAGGTATTTGGCTAGGGACCCTGTGGAAAGACCAAATCCAGTGGCATGGGGGCGCCTGATCACCGTGCCACTACCTGGGGTCAAATGGCAATTCCAGTGCTAGGTCCAAGAGCGTCCCTTTACCTCTGAGCCCTCAGCCTCTTCTGTAAACAAGGTGTCCAGAGTCCTCACAGGTATTATCACAGTGACTTAAAAAATGGTGAAACCTCAGTGAACCTATTATCTCACTTAAAAGTGTCCTTGACCACCCTCCCTTAACACAGAGAACTAGTGGCTGCCACAGGGTAGGTTGGGGAATAGGCCAAATAGGTGAAGGGGATAGAATTACTAACTTCCCATTATGAAATGAGTCATGGAGATGAACGTGCAGTGTAAGGAATATAGTCAGTAATACTGCAGTAACCGTGTGCGGTGGCAAATGGTAACTGCAGTTTCCGTGGTGAGCATTTCACTATGTGCAAAACTGGTGAATAACTGTGTTGTACACCTGAAATTAACAGAATATTGTATGTCAGCTACACTTCATTAAAAAAAATTTCTTACAAGACAGTTTCTACTCTCAAAGAACCCACTAGGGATTGGAGATTAATAAATAATTACAACACATGGAAAGTACAACAGAAAGGAACACAGAGCATAGTGTGAGGAACAGGTAACCTGTTCTCAATCGTTAACATAAATTAGAGCAACATAAAAATGCCCTGACCCCTTAAGAGATGGCCTCCAGTGCTTAGAATTCCAAGCACTCGTTCCTCTGGAGACCAGAAACGTGAGAGAGCAGAGGGTCTTGTTCGCCCTGAAGCCAGGAAGTTGAAGGAACAGCCACTCAAAAAACGTTAAGTGAATGAACAGCAGAGGCTGTGCGGCTGCCTGCTCTCAGCCTACCCCTGCTTCTAGTGGCTCGTGCCGTGAGCTCAGAGGCAGTCTGGCCACCTTGCTCATCCGTGGTGACAGAAGTGACAGTCCCTCCTCCACAGGAAGGCAGAAGCTGAGACACTTCAGTGACTGCATCTGGCTGTTTCCTTCTTTGGCATGAGAGTGAGGGAGGCCCCCATGATACAGTTCTGGAAGATTCCAGGGGGCCTGCAAGTTCATGTTCTCACCTGTCCCCTCCAGCACAGAGGTCAGGGTACTGCCCGGGCCCCACACAGCACCACTGGAAATTTGAATGTCACTTAATTTTTGGTTTAATCATTTTCTATTTTAAAAACAAATATGGGTAGTCTCGGCTTGACATGATAAAAAAGTTCCTAGTGGTGATGGTGGCACAACAGCGTGAATGTACTTAATGCTGCTCAATTGTACACCTAGAAATTGGTAATATGGTCAATTCTATTATGTGCATTTTATATATATATTTTTTTAATGAAGGTCCAGACTGAATTGCACAGCACAGTCATGAGGAGGCTCCATCTGTAGCAACACGATACAAATTGTTGGCCAGAGGAGACCGGGAGGCAAAGAGGGAAACAGGAAGGCTGGAGCTGGGACCTGGGGAAAGGCCCAAGGTAGAGTTGTGGGGAGCCTCAGGAAGAGAGACCTGAGTAAGACAAGGGCCAGAACAAGGAAGGGCTCTCGGGAGGTGGCCAACATCCAGCCGTGGCTGCCGGGTGTGTCTTCTCAGGAACTGTGCTGGGAGGGCCTCAGAGCCCTGGGGCAGGTACAAGCCAAGGCAAACACCAGCGAGCAAACAAGAACCGGGCCCTTACTGGTGGCATCTAAGCTCTCCATCTGTCCCCTACACCAGGATACCCTTGGAAGCCAGGCCCAACCCAAGCCCCACCCCACAGGCACCAGCGCCCTTTTCTAGAAGCTAGGAGGGCCGAACTCAACCCAAGCCCACTGCCTCAAGGCTGACCTAGGAATCCTGACAACTGCAGCAGGACCCAACAGCAAATCCCGTAGCTCTAAGCAAAATGAACACAGGATCCAACACTTCCTACCACCTCCCCGGCTCCCATCCCAGGGAGTCCTTTAGTATGTCCTCTAAGCCAGGCAGCAGGAACCGTCCTAAGCGCCTCCCTGCTAGTCAGCAGCCGGTGAGCCTAACATCAAAGTCAGACATCACTCTGCTCAAAACCCAGCCACTCCCCGACTACCTCAGGCCCTGTGTAGGGAAGAATTAATCCTACCCACAAGTCTGGTCTTTGCCCTGAGCTACCGGGAGGTGACCTCTAGGCCCTGAGAATGTCCTGCCTGACAGGAATGTCTTTGGGCATTTCAGAGAGCAGACAGTCTAACAATGTGACTTGTGATGGCAGCTTTGGGACACATACCCTCTGGGGGAATTAGAGTAACGGTCAGCCACGTGGGTGTTGTGATTTTAAGCCCCAAGAAACTCTGGACCCCAAAGGCTCAGGTGAGCTGCCTTGCTTGGCAAGTTACACACCAGGTCTTGTGTCCGAGATTCCACTGAAAGGACAATCACAGGAAGCCCCTTTGGACCCTCCCAGATTCTGCTGTGTCCGTTCTTTGGTTGGTTCCTATGCTCCAATAAAACTGTAATCTTAAGTCTCTTCCTTAATTGAGTCATTCTAGCGAGTTACACACCAAGAATGGTCATGGGGACCCGGGACTCACAGCTGGTGTCTGAACGGGGACTGTGCCCTCTAACTGCACTTTGCCAGACTCTGTACTGCACTACCACCGCTCTGCCCCGTAGACTGCATCCTCGAGGATAAGCATGCTCCCAGCCCTGGGCAATGGAGGGCCCCTCCCCCGGTACCTGGCAGGTTAACTCCCTCCCTTCTTTCAGGTCTTTTATTCAGAAGGCCCCACTTCAAATTGCCCCCACCCCCAGACACCTACCTCTTTTCCCGCTTCACTTTTTCCTCTTTGAACACTATTATCATACCTGCTACACTACATCTTACTCATTTTCTTTCTTCTCTGTCTCTTGACTAGAAGACAAGCCCCCAAAGGGAGAGGGATTTTTGTGCTTTGTTCCCTCCTGCAGCCCCAGGACTCAGGACAGTTCCTGGCACATGCTGAGTGTGGGCTGAGTTCTTACTGAATGACCTCTAGTATCCTTTAGAGAACAGGCCACCCTGCTCCCACTTTCTCCCTAAAAGGCCAAGTCTACACAAACAGGAGGCTGACCACAGCGGCTGAGACACTGCTGAGGGAAATAAGGAGTAAGACCCAAGACTCCCAAGAGAGCCCCTGGCCCTCTGGCCCGGCCTGGGTGAGGAGGCACAGATGCCAGTCCCAGGCCTGACGCCTCTGCTCTTTTGAGCTTGGCAGGCCCCTTCCTCGCTGGGCTAAGGCAGATGCACGGAACTCTCCGGCCCTGATCACAAGGGGGCATGTCCCGGGGTGAGAGGGAAAGCCAGGGAGAGAAATTCCTGCTGTCACAGAGGAGTGGAGGGAAGACAGGACCTTGCTAGGCAGGGATGACTTTTATTTGAAGCCAATAAACACCGTATTTGGGGGTTCACTTGTAATCCACGACACTAAAAAAAAGAGAGAAAGAGAGAAACCACAACTTCGAAGAGCCTGTGGAAGAAAGGGGAAGGATAGTGGGTCCCGGTCAGGCCACATAGGGGAAGCGGAGCAGCAGCCCCTCGTGGGGCTCCAGGTTCAGGTGTTCCAGCTCAAGAAAGGTGCCCTCCTCACGGCCTGGGCCTGGCTGGGTGCTGAGCACCATATCCACCCTGGCTGGCAGGCTGGCGCTGGCGGGCAGGCTGGACACACCCAACCTGGCAGGTCGGCTCACACCCCCAAAGTTGAGCACTACCAGGAAACGTTCGTTCTGGTCCCACTGGCGGATATAGGAGAAGATGTCCGGCCCTGAGGTGAGGGCATGGAAGTCTCCATGCAGCAGGGAGCGCTCCTTGCCCCGCAGATCACTCAGGCGCCGGAACAAGGAGAGGAGGGAGACAGGGTCTCCGTTCTGGCCCTGTAAATGGTGAAGACAGGGCAGGATGTGATGAAGGGTGCCCCTGGGTACCAACCGCTACAAGTCACCAGCCCACCTGGAACCCTCACCTTCACAGTCATGTTGGCGCTTACAGGTCCTGAGGTGTTAGGGAAGCTGGATTCATCCCAGAGCATGGCTGGGGCCTTTGCAGGCTGCAAGGCAGGGAAAATAGCACTTACACAAGGCCTGGGCCCGCTCTTTCTAACTCCTCTGTCTGTTCCCAGCCCCGTCCATGCAGAGCCTCAAAATGTGCACCTGCTACTGTACAAGCAAGTCAAGCTCCCACATTGGGCCCTGCACGCACTGCCCCCTCAGCCCAGCGGTCTCTGATCCCAGACAGACACCCGCCGGGGATCCCTCACCTCTCCCGCTCTCTGCTCAGTTGTCTCATCAGGTTCTCTGTGGCCACTCAATGTGAAATACCCCCTATCTCCTATTCTCTAGATCCAACCCCGCTCTCCTTTACATAAGCAGCACCTGGCATCTTTATTACACTTATTACCTAATTTCGCCACCTCCAGCTCTTTTGTGCATGGCTGTATCCTTCATGCAGGGCATGAAGGAATTACTCAACAAAACCTTGTGAAATAAAAGGAATGACCAGTTCTATAAATATCAGCTCAGGTGCCCACCTCCAGGCCTCTGGCTGAGGCTGAGTGCCCTCAGTCTTACCCTACCATAGCCCTGGCTGCCATGTGCTTCCTACTCATCCGGTTTCCCCACTAAGCCATGAGTCCCCAGAGGGTGCCCACTGTCCCTGCGTAAGCGAGGGAGGGAGTGACGGCTACCGCACTGAACACCTACCAGGTACCAGGTGTCACTGTTTATGATATGCCCTCATTTAATCCTCGCCACCATACAAGAAATGCCGTATCACAGAAGAGATGACCAAGACCCAGGGAAGTGAAGCAGCTTGCCAAGGCCACATAGCTACTGACTAGGTTGCTAACTAGGGCTCAAGCACGGCTGCCCCCAAGGCTCACGCCTGCCTGCTGCCATCCACAGAACCCTACTGTGCTGGGGAGGCAGCAAGTGATACCTGTCCAGGCAGGGTAGCTGCCTCCAGGCCAATCTCGTCCCCATAGCTGAAAACCGGGGTCCCTGGCAGGGTGAAAAGCAGCAGCTGGTAGAGTCGAAGGAGCTGAGCCGGCACAAAGGAAGTCAGGAGTCCTGCCTGAGACAACTGCAGGAGTGGAGGCAGGAGTAGTTAGCCCCAGAGTCCCCCCTCTGCTTCCACCTCCCAACATTTTTTCCTCTAAAAGGCCTCCCACCCCCTCTCCCGCCACTGTGATTACTCACACTCCAGCTGCCCCAGTGACTGCCAGTGGTGTTCAAATACTGGGTGACCAGCACTTCTGCATGCTTCCCAGTAAAACTGGAGTTTGACAGGTATGAGCTAGTCAACAACAGGTCCTTCGTGGATTCCAGTAGGTGCAGGATCTGCTGAAGGTCCGAGGACTCAGTACCTGCAATTAAGAGCCTGCAGAGAGCAGAACAGGGGTTAATGTTGGTAAAGGATACGAAAGGAAGAATGGAGGTGAAGAACGTTCCTTAGACTAGGAACTACCCCCCCTTCCTTAGGCCTAGCATTCTGAGGGGTTCCCACGATGGGGCTGAGATGGGGGAGGCTGGTACCCACTTATCTTCACTGAAGCTCTTGGTGATGTTCTGCCACTCAGGCAAGAGTGAAGACGCATCCTAAAAGGAAAAAAGCAGAGTCGAGAAGCAGGGAACACTACCAGGCCCTGGAGAGTCCCCCTATTCTCACTCAAGCTGTGCATCTCACGTGGAAAGGACACTCACCTTCAGGTTCTCCATGTCCCGAACCTGGAACCCATCTAGGGCAGTCTGTAGCCAAAAGTTCAGAGCATTCTATGGGGCGGGGGACAAAAGAACATAGGAAAGATATCAACACTCTGATGCAAAGGCTCAGAAAATTCCAGACCACACTAAACCTTGTCTACCACGTGCTTCCCCGTGACCTTGAGAGTCACTTTCCTTGAATGGCCTCACTTTCCCACCTCTATCATAAAGGTTTAGCCTTTGGTCCTCTCCCATTCTAACACATCATTGATTCTCTTAGTGCTATAGCATTTCATGTCTCTACTCCTGCCCATGGCAAATCACACAGCCTCACTTGGCACCCACAGAAAACGCCCAAGAGAAAAAAAGTATGTTCATAAACAGAATGTCATTTAACCCTTGGCATGTATGGAATGCTAGTATACTCGTTTTAGAGATGAGGAGCAGTCTCAGAGAGGCAAGGAGGCGTGCCCAAGATCACAAGCAGAGAGCAGCAGACAGACAAGATCCCAAGACAGTGTACCTACTCCTGTCCCGGTGTCCCAAGGCCTGGGGAGGGTGTGAGTAAGAGAGCCAGTCAGAACGAGGCCAAGGATGAAAGAGCGAAGTTCAAAGCCCAGCTCCGGGGCAGAGTAGATGAAGACTTGGAAAGAAGAGCCAGCTCTGCAGACAGGTCCTGGCTTGAAGCCCCTGCATTCATGGCCACCTAACATGGAACCCCACACCCACGGCCTCTGCGCTCCCTTTTCTCTCACTCCATGTGCTCTCTGATCTCGTCTTTGCTTTCATCTGAAGCTTCCACTCCTCGTGACATACCATCAGAAAACGTTCCCTTATTTGTAACTTTTAAATGGTCTCCCAGCGATTAGCAAAGGCTGAACTGGATGGCCCCAAGGGTCCTATGGAAATGCTGGGAAATTCTACCTCAGCATCCTGGCTGCCAGCAGGGTCAGTGTCCCAGAGCCCAGGCCACTAGGAGCCCAGTGACCTTCAGTGCCCCACCCCCAGCTTGCTGTATAGTTTGAGCGCATACCTTTACCCAGAAAGGCAGATCAGAGAAATAAGAGTACCAGGACCTCAGATCCCACGAAGGCCCTCTGAACCTTAGCTTCCCCATGTACAGATCAGGCACAAGGAGAGGGACCTTGTGTGGTTATATAGGGGATTAGAAAATGTTTATAAAATACTTGGCATAGTCCCAGACACATAAGACCCCATTGCTTACAACTTCAGACTGGGCTCCACTCCAAAACACAGCAAACAAGAACTGGGAACCAGACAGGATGGGACTCCCACAGAAAGGGCTTCCTCTCCCAAAAGGATAAGAAATCAAACTCAGATTGACATCTGAGAAATTCCCTTCCTGGCACTGTTACCATCAGAGTCAAGGAAACAAGAAAAATGAGTTAGAAAAGGAACAAGGAAAACAGGGGTGCACTGCGGGCCTAGCCTGCTTGTGGGAAGAGCAAGCCTGCTGAGCTCAAGAGGAGCCAGGGGCCCCTCAGCAGGAGCCATTCACTCTGGGTTTACAGGGCTTGTTACTCAGGACAGGCCTGGCCCCAACATGCAGCTCTACCTGCCGTGAGCACCAACACACTCACCTTCATCATGGAGTCCACAGTGCCAATCTCAGTGGGGAAGAACCATGAGTTTGGGCTCCTATAGTTGGGGGTGAGGTCCAGAATGACACGGATGCCTAGAACACAAAGGAACAGGCACAAGTGAGAAAGAAAAATCTCACAAGGGAGAAGAGGAAATCAACTGACACAAGCCTGTAAAGTATTTCCTACATAATGATACAAAATCTTAGGTTTGAACTCAGGCAAAAGTCATTCCACTGAAAAAGATGTGAGGAAAGGCAAGCTCAAGATCTTTCTCACAGGGCACAAGGCATGTGATACAGTACGAAAGGTTGAAGGTATGGTCCCCTGAGCTGCCCAACCACAAAGTGAACCCTTTTCAAGTAAGACAAGATTTTGTTTGGATTTTTTTTTCCCAAAAGGATCACTCTTTCACAGGTTTAAAAACCACGTATTGAGTAGAAACCTACAATCTGCAAATAAAGGCCCTGAAGCCAAGAGGTTAAATGACCGTACATCCAACCAGGAAGTCTCTAAACTGCCTGACAAATTCACTTTAGGTTGAAGCCTAACCTCCCAGGATCTGCCCTAGGAAAACTCAGCCAGCCAAGAGTAAAGCAAAGATGAGATCCTGTCTTTCCTCTGGCCAGAAGGCAAAGCCCTTCCTAGCTGCCTCCTTGCCAACTCTAGGACACCCACTCTTTTTCTTGGCCGATTGCAGGAGACTATCAAAATCTTCCTTGGAGCCAAAAGCGGGGTCGATCTGTTCCAAGTTGGTCCCACTGACATCATCCTTCTGGTTCTGGTGAATTGGGCCCAGCACAATGCCCTTCACCTTCAGGGTGCTCAGGTAGTCGAGATGCTTCTTCAAGCCTGAAATAAGGAAGCTGGGTTAAAGTGAGACCCCTCTAAAAAAAACCCCATCACCCTAATCTCCCTTCCCGGAGACACAGTGTGAAGGGTGAGTCTGGATCACGGGACTCGGAAGAGCTGACGTAAGGAGCCCTGCACATTGCTTCAGAACCGGCTGCGACTGGCTCGTGGGACCGCGGGGCAGGGGGTGCTGAGTCAGCTGCCCTCGTGAAAGCGGGAGAGGAGCGGTTTTCTTCCAAGAAGGGAACTACGTCCCAGGGTGCGGCCCCCGGTACCGGGTGGGGTGAACTTAATGGGTCAATCTGGGGACCGGGTCGCAGCCGACCAGTCGCGCGGGGCGGGGGTGCCCCGCTCTCACCCGCCAGGCTGCCAGCGTCGCCGCCCTGGAAGGCCTGCAGGTCGCCGATGCGGTAGAGGGCGCCCTTGTGCCACCACCTCTGCCCCGGCAGCTCGCGGCAGCGCGGCGCCCGCACGATGATGACCACGGCGCCCGCCAGCATGCCAAGCCAGCCGAGCCAGAAGAGCAGCAGCAGGGCCCAGCGGGTGCGCACCCAGCCGGGGCTGCCCGCCACCTTCAGCAGCTCCTCTTTGGTCAGGCCCGTGAACTTGGCTGCGGCCGCCGCCTCCGCCTCGTCGTCGGCCACCTTGAGCTTCACCAGACCGTTCTTCTCGGCGCCGCCCGACACAACCACAGCCACCGCCGCCCCCGACGCCGCGTTCATCGGCTGCTTTTCGGGTTCCAACTCGTTCAGCTCCACTTCCTTCATGTCCACCTCGGTGTCCTGGCTCATGGTGCCTGCGGAACCGGCGACACGACGCGGCCTGCGGTCAGATGGCGGCTGTTCCCCTGCTCCAACCTCCCGGCGCCAGAGCTACCCAGCACTCCGCGTAGCTTCCGACTGTCTGCGGAGCAGCTAGCGCGGCCTCGGGGAATTGGCTGGGAAGCCCCGCCCCTGCCCGCCCCTTAAAGCGGAACCTCCCGCACCGCTCCGGACAGCTCGTGCGCACGGCGAGTCAGGAACAACGTCGGGGGCACGCCTCCCAGGCCCTGCGCGAGCCAATTCCCAAACGTAAGTTCCTTTGAGCCGGACACTGAGAAGGCTGAGCTCAGGGCCACCTTTTGGTGTCCGGCGTCTGTGATTTGTCCCACCCCGGGTCCCGCTGGTCTCCCCCTCCAACGGGAAGTAGGCGGGGAGGGGGCATCCTCCATTGATGGGCTGCCGGGACGCTCTTCGCCCACTCCGAAGGCTAGCGACTGCTCCGGACACCATCTTCCATCTGCCTCTGCACCACGGCCCAGGCTACAGCCTAAGCTTCCGAACTTCGCGCCGCCACTTGCACTCTCAAAAGCCGGCCAAACTCACCTCCCGCCCTTTCCCCCACCAGGCCTAGTCATCTCAGGCTTCTGGGACTTAGCTAGACCTCCGCTTTCTTTCAGGGCTTACTCCCACTAGTCCTTCAAGACTCATCTTCTTAGTTTAGCTCACTTAATTCATCATGCAGGAGCTATTTATTGAGCACCCACTACAGTACTTGGCTTTATTAACTATTGTTATAAAATAATCTCATCTAGTCTTCGCCATCAAGTTTTCAAATGCATCTGTTTGGAGAGGAGAACTAAGGCTGACCCAACCCCCAGTGGCTGGCGCCAGGATGTTGGGCAGCTAGGATTCTGACATCCGGAGACTAATGGGCAACCTCCAGACTGTAGCAAACATTCCAAGGTTGGGTCTGTTAGACGCATTCACTGGTTTCCTACAATAGACCAGAAGATGCCATGGCCAGGCTCTTCCACACTTTGCAGGGCCTCCCACACATCATCCTGGTCTCCCCATGGTGCCTGGGTTTCCTTACCTCCCCATCACCTTACCATACTAGGCCCTGGAGGCAACTGCAGAGACCCTGAAGCCCACCCAACCTCCCTCCACAGAGGTCCCTGGATTGAGGGTAAGTGGGGCAGAGACAAAGTTCACAGCAGGGACTGCTGGACATCAACACTGAGGTGCTGACACTCTTGGGAACATCTTGTTCCTGAGCAGTGCCAGTTGGGTTATTTTCAGAGAGGAGCTGAAGTAAGGCTCTTTCTCCCTCTCCCTTCTGGGCTGGAAGCCAAAATGGCTGTGTACTTGCAAGAAAGCAGAAGCCAAGACCTGAAGAAATAGCAGACAGGGGTGCCAAAGGAGAGCGAAGGGTGTGAAAAGGCTCATCCTCTGCCATTCCCCTCTGCATCCCAGAGCCTAGTCCATCCCAACCCTAGGAAAGCCCTAACCAGTTCCTAGAGGGAGGCAGGCAAGTGGGTAGAGGTTGGAGTTCAGACCAGTGCTCAAAGATGGTAAGAAGTCCACAGGTGCCTTGGACCTGCCAGATAAGTGCCAACCAGGACTCTGAACAGAGATCTCCAGCATGAAAGCTCAAGGTTGAGAACTGGACTCAGGAGCTCTCCTTGATATGGTCCAACACTAACACCCCCTAGAAATGTAGTATCTCACTCACAGGCTCCCATGGCTCCAGACAGATGAAGCCAACTACTACTGCAGGCAGTAAAAGCAGTTCACAACTTACATCCCCAAGTTTATCACCCTCCATGCCTTCCACAAGGACTACCCCCTAGTCACATCAGCCTGCAGACACCTGCCAACCTCACCAGACACCCAGCCTTGTCAGGCCTCTGCATCTTGGTACATGCCATTCCCTGTTTCTCCCTTCCTATTGTGCCTCATAAGCTCCTGTTCATTCAAGACCTAGCTCAGATGACATTTCTCAACTTCCAGAAAAGAATTACTTTGCATCCACTGTGTACTTACCTCTGCTACAACTCATGTCCCGTTTATTACATTTCCTTGTCTGAGTGTCTGTTTGCACTTCAAGATAAACGGCAGGGGCTTATGCTATTTGTGGATGGGCCTAGTGCTCAGAGGTAGCACAGTATAGGTACTTCATATATGTATTTGGAAAATGAATGGATGAACCTATCAATATTTACCCTTTTAGAAATAACAAAAGTAGCATGTGAAGATAAATGGATAAAAATGAAAAGGAATTTAAAGAACACTGCATCATCTCATATACAGACTAAGCTGTTTATATAGGAAAACAAGCAAAGACTTGTAACTGTTCAGCCAAAATAAAAGTAACAAAGCTGGGGGAAGGCAGGGGACAAGAAAGCAGCAGGGAAACACTGTGGAGAAAGGGCAGAGGTGACAAGAGATCCTCAGATCCTTCAATGTCTGTTGATAAATGTGAACTTAGCCTTCAAGAAAAGCAGAAGGCCAGATGTACAGAGAAAGTTCCTTTCTAACCCCCATTGCAAAAATCCATGTCATGTCTCCCAACAAATGAGGATTACTTGATCTTACCCAAAAGATCAGGAAGTTATCTTTCCCCAATGTGTGAAAAATATTTCCAAAGACAGAACACAGATGGCGGATAGTTAGAAACTCTTCAGGAGACCGGCTCTGTACATCAGAACGTAACTCTGCCAAAGTCCAAGGCCTTATTCCAAAGACTCAGAAACAAAGCATCCAGGATCTGCCTCTAAAATACCCGTCAGCCTTGAGTTTAGCCATTTGGAAAACGGATGATGGCTGACCAATGACAACTGTAAAATCATAGACCTAAGAAGCTCAACAAATCCCAAGCAGAATGAACATAAAGAAAACCATATTAACTCACCTTAGGATAAAAATCAATCCAAAAGAGAGGAGGGAAAGGGAAAAGGGGAAAAAACAAAAGAAGAAAAGTAGAAAGCAAATAGTAAGATAGTACATTTAAGTTCTGGTTTACTAATGATTACATCAAATGTAAATAGTGTCAAATTTTCAATTAAAAAGCAGGGATTCATGAATTTGGTAACAAAACGTAGCTGTATGATATCTACACGAAACTGAATGTAAATAACAAGAAACAGTATAAACTCCAGTCAGAAAAAAAAAGGACGACGGCTGAAGTCAAAGAACTGAGCGTTTGACAGTCAAAGCACCTGCTGAGGTAAAAGCAGAGGAGGAGGCCAACCCCAACCAAAGGCGCAGCTGCTGTTTGAAGAACTGATGTTAGAATAACATTTATTACTACAAATCCTGCAAGATGGACACAGGCTGCTTAAGGGGAGAACTGTCAGGGTTGTCTTAGTGAAGGGTGAGGAACATGAGGGGGATAAGAGCCAGGAAGAGTAAAGGAAACGTAACCAAAGCCGTTTCTTTGAAGAAAAATAAATACACCATCTGAAAAGTATCTGGCACTGAAATAAATTGGCCAATGAACAACACTGAACAAGCCATTCTCTCTAATGCAACCGTATATTAAAAGGGAAACACCAAGCAGATCAATTTATGGAAGAAATAGGAAAGCCCTTTTAACATATTACCCTTGGATAGATGACATCAGATATTCAACTGGTCAGACAGAACACTGACTGCATCAAAAAGGCAAACTACAGGGGTAATAAGAGATTAAATTCTCCTTAAAATAGTCACCGACGTCCTCCAACAACAGCAGTCCCTGCATGGTCACACAAAATGGGCAAGCACGGCCCTGTCCCCATCGCCTGGCCCCTTCAGGACCTGTTCGCACCACGTTCTTCAGAAGAAAGCCACACTCGAGAGGTCTGGAATGAAGCTCTGCCAACTAGGAGATTTGTCTCTTCTCTCTTATTTATTTATTTACCTGTTTACTTATTTGTATCAGTACAGACTCTTGGATATTTATTTTATACTTTGGGTTGGAATACAGTACTATCTTACTTGGATTTTTGTTCAAATTGTTCCAGCTTTGGCCACTGTGAGCTCTTTTGTGTTGGCCCTTGTGTCCTTTTAATACATTCCCTCTCCCCACCCCGTTTTTTTGAGCACTTCTTTGCTTTCTGCCACTACAAGATGCTCCAGGCTCATCTTGTAGATTTGCTAGGGCCCAAGCCCTAGAATCAGCCATTCTTTCAAGGAGTCCTGGTTTGTTTTATTACAGAACGGTATTAGAAACCAAGATACAGGCAGTCAGGGGTCTTCTGATAAACCAAAGGTCTCCTTCAAAAATGTATCAGTCTGACGGGAAAGGCAGTATAAACAAAGAGAAGTAATGATTCTATAGCATCTTACTACGCTGATGGACAGTGACCGTAATGGGGTATGTTGGGGGGACTTGGTAATAGGGGGAGTCTAGTAACCATAATGTTCAAGTAATTGTACATTAACGATACCAAAAAAAACATGTATCAGTCTCTGGGTGGGGGAGGGGGAATCAGAGGGCACAAAAATTCTCAATCATAATATTAATCAGTCACTGGGACAGTAGTACAGCACTGGGAATATAGCCAGTGATTCTGTAACATCTTCCTAAGTTGACAGTACTCGCACTAGTGGGAGTGAGGATTTAATAATATGGTAACTGTTGAACCAGAATCACTGTGTATTATACTTGAAACCAGTATAAGATTGTATATCAATGATACTTCAATAAAAATATACATATGTGTGTGTTATAATATGAAAGAAATAATATATCAGTCTTCTCTTTTATAGGTCACTTTTTTTTTGGTGTCTGATTTTAAAATATCTTTCCTTGAAAGCTTCTTTACTTCAAGGCCTGAAAGATACCCATCAGTATTTTCTATGGGAAAATATAAGGTTTTCTTTTTGACATTTAAATTCTTAACCCATCTTTAATTGGTTTTTATATATGGTATAAGGTAGACAGCCAATTTCATCTTTTTTTCAAATGGGTGTCTGTGATAAGATAAAATACATATACAGCCCTTGTCCTTGGTGCCTGACACCGAGCTCCTAAACCCCTTGGAATTTCCTGGGTTGTAAGAATGTCTTTTCTCCTAATGAGGCCACTCTTGGTGGACCCCCGGGTAGCTTCGGAATGGGAACTGATCATCAGAAATACCAAGGCAATGATTAGAGGGCTGGGACTTTCAGTTCCACCCCCGAACCTCTGGGAAGGGGAAGGGCTGGAAATCGAGCTAATCACCAATGGCAATGATTAAACAATCACTCCTGAGTTCTGTAAGTCCTTCTAGGGAATTATTGATCCTGAGACAGTCATGGGAACCCCTGATTTATAGCCAGTTGGTCAGAAGTACAGGAAGCAACCTTGGACTTGCTACTGGCATCTAAAGTGGGGGTCTGAGTCCTTAACCTGCTGGGTTCTGTGCTAATTCCAGAGAGTCAGTGTCAGAATTGAATTGTAGGACACCCTGCTGATATCTGGAAAATTGGAGAATTGGTGGTTGGGTGGAGGGGAAAACCCACATTTTGGTGTCAGTATTCTGAGCAAAAAACAGATCACAGCAGTTCGTTGTAATTAGGCCATAACAGCATATTCTTCTCACAGATCCCTGGATGGACTGCACTGAAATCTGGAGAGGCTATTTAAGAAGGCTTTTCCTTATTCATTACACTGAACAGAGAAGGTACAAAATATCTATGGAAATGCAGACATTTAGAGAGACATTATTCCATGAAACATATTTCACGAAAAGAATAATCTCAAACAAAAACATATATTGTTACAGATGCGGACTACAGAGAAAACTAAAGCTCAAAAGTTTAAGGAAAACGGATCTTACAGCAAGTTTGGAACGGGGATTCCCTTGTCATCCTCAAATTAGAAAGCAGTGTTAGAACTGAACTGCCATACAGCAGGTTTCTTTAAATAGTAATACCACATCAGTAATTTACAGAACAGTTTTACATGTAATTAACATTTGATTGGGGGAAAAATTTGAAACCTAAATGTTTTCTCTATATGTGGAAAATAAAAAATTCTGTACAGAAAAATCAAGCTGAATTACAAATTATTAGAGTAAATTATTTCAATAAAATATTAAACACAAAACAATATACAAAACTATTCTGTACACCAGTAGCAAATAAATAGAAAAGTTTTTTCCTGAGTTGCCATTTACACTAGCAACAAAAACTGAGACCTGAGATTAAATCTAACACTACACAGATAACTTCTTTATGAAGAAAAGGATAATATTGTACAGAAATACATTCACACAAAAAATACTGAGTAACCTATCATGTGCCAGGCACTGTTCTGTGAGCTGGGGACACAGCAAGACAAGACCCCCTGCTTTCATGAAGCTTAATTCCACCCAGTGGGAGAGCAACAGTAAAAAAATACTCAAATACTCAAACACACATAATATATCAAATGGTTACAAGTGCTATGAAAAGACAGATGACAGATGCAATGAAAAGCCTTTATTCAGTGAAGGCATCTTTTATAAGGTGACATTTGAGCAGAAATCAAAAGAGGTGAGGGAATAAAGGAGCTTTCTAAAATAAAATTTTTTAGGTAAGGGAATTGTAAGCATAAAGGAGAAATGCTACATATTCATGACTAGGAAAATTTGATGTCATAAAGAAATCAATGCTCCAAAACAATCTGTAAATTCATTACAATTTCAATGCAAATCATAGTATCTGGTCTTGGGAACTTTATAAGATGATTGTACAATTCATGTGCAAGAGCAAAGGGTCAAGAATAGTAAGAAAGACATTTTTTAAGGCAAATGCTACCACATTCAAGCATGTTTTATTTATAAAGTAATCATAGCATGGGGATGGGCGAATAGGCCAGGAGAACATAGAATAAGACTTAAAGTAACTCATGCATATTTGAAACCTTAATATATGCAGAAGTAATGTTATAATCAGTAGAGGAAGGATTAACTTCATCAAACGATGTTAGAGAAAAATAAAATTACATCACTACTTAACACCAAACACAAAAACACATTCTAAGTGATTAAAAGACCTCAATATGAAAGGCAAATATTTAATATTTTTGGAATAAGAATATCTTTCTGACTTTAAGGTAAGGAAGAAGTTTTTAAACAAGACACAAAAGCACAAACCACTAAGAAAAGGATTGACAAATCCTACATTAAAAGAAATTTTGTGCATCAGAGACCACAGCATACTAAAAAGAGAAGCCACAAATGGAAGATACAGTTTCTGAAACTAATATAAGCCAAAAATAGCATCCTACATAAAACATATAAAGTATAACTAAAAATCAGTAAGGAAAACACCAATAACCCAGCAGGAAAAAAATGTATAGAATATAAACAGTTCATACCACTGAACACATAAAAGAACAGCCAGTTAACTCTTGAGAGATTACATAACTTCATTAATCAGAAATATGCAAATTAAAATTACAACAAAATATAATTTCATGTTCTATCAGATTGGCAATATTAAAGCATCTGACTGAACCAGGTGATGACAGGGATTTGAAATTGCACAAGTGGCAGCATTAACTGGTACAATTACTATAGGTGAGCAATTTGCAACAGCCTAGAATTGAAAATACTCATAGCTATTACCCAGAAATGTCATTCCTAGATTCCCACCTCAGAGAAACTCTCACACATGTGCACAAAACAACATACAAAAGATTTCCCCTGGATTATAGTAGTAAAAATGTGGTAATCTGAAAAAGGGTCTAACACTGGGGAACAAAATTAGTTTGTAGAAAATTTCTAAACAGAATACTACAAATGACTAAATCTTCAGAAACCAGGACACAAAAGACAGGCAAAATATGTCAAAGATATAATGTTACAAAGAAAAAAGAAGAAATAGCAGGTTCAACTTAAAATTTTCTTCCAAAAACCAAAAGACATAGTGGAATGCCAACAGTCTGAATTTTAACTGACATCTATCCTAAAAGGGAGAGAACCAAAAAATCCATGGGGGTACCACGAATCAGGTGGGTTTGCAGAATGAATGGAACCTCTCTTCAATCTCCCTGTTCCAAAAATCCACTTGATAACATATCCTCAAGTAGAGGATTTATGAGATATTAAACAATAAAAACAGATACTATACTTAATCTTGGACCAAAAAAAAACCAAGACTCCCATCAGGCCTTGCCTCCCAAACTTTCACTCAAGCCCACAAAAGCAGCCTTAAAGCTGTTCCTTATGAAATTCCGTATCTACTCTCCCAATAACCAGTCTAATCCTTGCCCAGGAAAGCGCCCCAGTGGTACATTCCTCCACAGTCCAGGAAGTAAGGAAATTCTGTTTCAAACTGAATTTTTGCCACAGAGCTGTCCTACTGCCAGCTCCCCAAGAGCACTGCTCATTTGCATATCTGCACTCCTCTTGGGGTAGAGCTAGAGCCACTCCCGGAGCCAAATGAGTAAAGGCAGCCTCCGTCCTCCAGGGACTCCTGTGGGAAGAAGCCTGTCTACAGTTCAAAAGTATTTCTTTAAACCACTTCTTCAGGAGTTTACTTCATAACAGGGCAGGCAATCAATGAATTAGTGACATGCCTCATCCTACGTGATGGGGATAAAATAACAAATTACACGGACAAGATTTCTGACCTCGGACTTTACGCAGGTAAAGAGTAAAGTAGGGCATAGACGGAATGGAGTGGCAGTGGCACTGAAATTGGAAAAGGGAACTGGGTCTTGTTGGCTCTGTCAGCAGGCACAGACTTTAACCTAAAAGCAAAGGAGAAGCACTGAGGATTTTGAGCTGAGATCAGATTTTTTTATTTACAAGATCACTCTGGCTACAATGTGGAGAATGGATCAGAAGTGGGCAAGTCAGAGCCACGGAACCAGGTTAGGAATCTGTAGCAGAAATCCAGGCGGAATGGCTTGAACTCAGGTACTGAGAAAATCTAGAGCAGCCGCTGACGTCTGGAAGCTGACCTGGCCCTCACACTGGAGATCGCTGGATGAGAATCCATTGGCTTGAGGGAACTTTCTTGCGATCCAGGATTTAACACTCTGGCAAGGATCCCAAGGAATGAGGCAAAATCACAGCTATGGCGGCTCATAGAAGCCTGGAGAAAGCAATGGCCCATGCTAAGTGAAACAGATACACCCGATTTGCCCTAGTAGATAGGAGAGGAAGGGATACAGAGGCTGAAGAAAGTGGGCATGCTGGAATGGAAATATTATGTAAGGCCAGAAGACCCTCCAGAGATTTGTGTTCCAAGAAAGGGCCCTGAGGACACAATATTCACCAAGGCCATGAGGAATGCTATTGAGTGGGACTTGAGCATCAGAAAGGTCAGTGGCAGCCTGAGCTGATAACAGAAGAGGCAAACACAGAACTGAGCTACTACTCCCATCAAGCAATAGAAACCAGGTATAATGGAGGCACTGCTTCACTGTCAGAAATCAGAAAGCTGCAATTACTGTAAGACAGGCAAGATCAGAGGGGTAGGCATGGGGCCCTGACCCATGGAGAGTTGTGGACATATCAGAAAACGGTATCCATAGAGGGTAAAATAAATGGGAAGCCAACAAGGATACTGCTGTACATCTACAACCCAAAAAGAACAAGGATAAAGGAGCAGGCTAAGGGCACTCACTGTAAGTGAGTCAAAATCACCTCAGTTCCTGGACTTGAGCCAATTTTCATGTCCAAAATTCAGTTCCTGAAGAGGTAACCAAGTTCCTAGGGAAAAGATCCTGAACTGAGTTCCCCCAGTTATGTCAGATCTGCATCCATTCTAAGTTGGACCTATCGAGTCAAAAAGACGAGCCCAGCAGTAGTCTTTGAAAAGACAGAAATGGTACCTCCAGGATCAAGGGTAAGTGGGACGAGAGGACCCAAGCAAATTCCATGAGCAGGGAGTCCCGAGCCCTGTGTTACCCACCATACTTGTAAAAGCACAGCTCCCTGATACAAAAGCCCTGGTGGTCAAATAGGGGACTGTACACAAAACATGAACATTGCTACATCAAGTGTAAACGGCCACCAAAAGGTATCCGCCAAGAAGGCAGGGCTGAACAACCAAACATGAGTGACTTGGCCTCCTTTGGGGAGCAGAAGGTGAACCCAGGATTCAAATCCAGACAGACTGGCTGTAGCCACTCTCTTAATCGACAAAATGACTTACATTACAAAGAAAATATTTGAACTCCTGTTTATATCTCATCCTTTAAAAAACAATATTAAAGCATCTGACTGAACCAGGTGATGACAGGGATTTGAAATTGCACAAGTGGCAGCATTAACTGGTACAATTACTATAGGTGAGCAATTTGCAACAACCTAGAATTGAAAATACTCATAGCTATTACCCAGAAATGTCATTCCTAGATTCCCACCTCAGAGAAACTCTCACACATGTGCACAAAACAACATACAAAAGATTTCCCCTGGATTATAGTAGTAAAAATGTGGTAATCTGAAAAAGGGTCTAACACTGGGGAACAAAATTAGTTTGTAGAAAATTTCTAAACAGAATACTACAAATGACTAAATCTTCAGAAACCAGGACACAAAAGACAGGCAAAATATGTCAAAGATATAATGTTACAAAGAAAAAAGAAGAAATAGCAGGTTCAACTTAAAATTTTCTTCCAAAAACCAAAAGACATAGTGGAATGCCAACAGTCTGAATTTTAACTGACATCTATCCTAAAAGGGAGAGAACCAAAAAATCCATGGGGGTACCACGAATCAGGTGGGTTTGCAGAATGAATGGAACCTCTCTTCAATCTCCCTGTTCCAAAAATCCACTTGATAACATATCCTCAAGTAGAGGATTTATGAGATATTAAACAATAAAAACAGATACTATACTTAATCTTGGACCAAAAAAAAACCAAGACTCCCATCAGGCCTTGCCTCCCAAACTTTCACTCAAGCCCACAAAAGCAGCCTTAAAGCTGTTCCTTATGAAATTCCGTATCTACTCTCCCAATAACCAGTCTAATCCTTGCCCAGGAAAGCGCCCCAGTGGTACATTCCTCCACAGTCCAGGAAGTAAGGAAATTCTGTTTCAAACTGAATTT